GTATGAACTATGTAAAAACAATCTGCAGCTAACTTGCTTTATCGGGTATCAGGTATTATAATAGCTTCCGTTTAGTGCAGAGAATAATTTGGTGTTGGTTAATTTAACACCGATGCTACACAGATTTTTTTTCAGATCATATTTTAACACAAATATTATCCTTTTTGTGAAAACCAGTGAGAATATGCGTGCACTTTGCGACATATTAAATCCCAGTAGGTTGAATAAGCTATCCTGATGATAAATTGGCCTAGTGTCACCATGTAGCTTATTTTAGTAGAAATGCACACAAGTTTTGCAGAATAAGGAGTTCGTTTTCTGTAGAAAGGGCAGTAACTTGCAATGTGAATACATTTTAAATTAAAGTTCAATTAAAGCTTATGTTTGCATATAAAATTATACGCATTAACAGAATATTATGGCCCTGAAAGTTGTGCAGACGGTTTAGTGAACTCTGACAGTGTTTCCAAAAACCAACAGCATCATTTTCAGGCATGCAGGTGTTTGCCAGTGTTAGATTAGAACCTTGTAAGCCTCACTTTCCTGTTTGTTTACAGCATCCACATTGGGATATCAATTATAAGATGACAGGAACAGCTGAACACAGGATGCACCAAACGTTGCATATAGAAAGATTAGTGATCAGCAGTATGTTCGCCTCAAGTTTTAGATGAAAATACATATCTGCTGTTTTTTCTGTTTATACTCAGAAAATAAACAGGCTGCAGCACCCATTAGAGTACAAAGACGGCAGGTAGCATGCCGATTCAGTGATTGGCTGACAACAGCACAATAGCAGTTACCTCTGTAAATGGGCTCTGTTTCTTTCTCAGCTGTCTGTATGATCCACAGGTGAGCTGCAGCCATTAGGACTCAGGCAACAGCAGCAATGGCAGTTTTAACAAACGATGCTCCTCCAGCAGTCCAGCTGTAAAACACACAGCTCAGCAGGCCTCAAATAGACACCCAATCACCTATACCGTTTTGTGATATAAAGCACAACAAAACTCCAGTGTCTCCTGCAGGCTTAGTTACAAAACCTACACGAGTCTTTCAGATAAACACTGGAATGACTTGTGTGGAAACTGGTGAGTCCAAGTACAGACATGACGTGCTTAAATATCTTCACATGAATGTAAAATTACATATTACTCAAATACAGTATTTAAATATAACTTAGATTCCGTTTCTGCTTTCATGTATGTTTTTTTATAAACGTTTTTTAAGTTTCTATGTAGAAAATATGGTGCATTTTGTATCTGTTCAAACTTGACTAGCTACAACATTTAACACAGTCGTTCTGTATTGGGTAGGGAGTCTGTCTTGCTTTCACTTTCCTGGGAGTATCCATTTAAGTGCTACTTTAGGAATTTTTGGCATTCATAGCCTAGCCATGTAAAAGATCGCTGTTTCATTTCATCAGCAATGCTAAAGCATTTAGTGTTTTCCAGCATGTTTTTGCTGGTGTTCTTGTTTCACCAATAGATTTTAAGGATTTTTATTTTATAGCTAGCTGTTTTGGAATGATTCTAGTCTCTGGACGTCAGTTTGTGTTATTCAGCGGCATTCTGAACCATATAGCAGAAGTGATTTTAACATCACTATTTAACATTCTTATCTTCGTGTTGATGCTGTGATTACTTGATTCCCAGATGGGCTGAATTCTGGGATAAGCTGTGCAACTTTTGACAATCTTGATTGTATGTCTTTATTTCTTGCTGGCACTGTACATTTAAAGGTAGACTCACTCTTGGATGCACAACACATTATTTAATTTATTAGGATGTTGTTTCCATTTTAATTCAAGCAGGTTATGAGATCCATTCCACATGAACTGTATGTTGCAGTCATAGTGCATATCAGTGTGACAGCGGTTGCTTATGTAAATGTAAATAAATACACACTCGCCTGTTATGAAAATTTATTTGTGATGATGCGTTAGCCCTGTGAAAGATTGGGCGTACCCTGCCTCTCAACCTATGGTAGCTGGGAAAGG